TTGGTGAGCAGAATATTGACATGGTATTACCACATTCACCTATAGACTGTCAGGAACAAACAGTAACGATATAGTGGAGAAATCAGACAATGCCTTAACCAGGTGATCCAAGTTAAAATCAGCTATGAGGGCAGACAGACATTGCACACCTCCTGATGTGATGGCCTGAGGAGGACACATCATTTATGTAGTTTTCTAGCCATAAACGGATGAACCTAACATTGAGAAAACATCAGACAAACCCAAAATTTGTGTTATGGATTGAACTGTGACCCCCACCCCCAAAAGATATGTTGAAGTCCTAATCCCTATACTGGTGAATGTGTTCTTGTTTGGAAATAGGCTTTTTCTTATCAGTTAAGGAAGTCATACTAGAGTAGGGTAGGTCCTAATCTTTTCTGAACAGTGTCTTTAAAAAGGGAAAACAGACAAAGCAATAGGGTTACACAGGGTAAGACATCATGTGAGGGACCATCTACAAGTCAAGGAATGTCCAGGGCTACTAGAAGATGAAAGAGAAAAGGAAGGATCTTCCCCTAGAGCTGACAGAGAGACAGAGAATAGCCCTACTGACACCCTGGATTCAGACCTACCCCTAGAACTGTGAGATAATAAGTTTTTGTTTCTTTAAAGCCACCCACTTTGTGGTATTTTGTTATGACAGCCCAGGAAACTAAGACGAAAAGGAACATTTTCGTTTTTTTTAAAAAAAGAACTGTATTCTTAAAAAATGTTCATGTCTTAAAAAAACAAAAAAGGGCTATGGAGATACTGCAGATTAAAGGAGACTAAAGAGACATGAAAATTGAGTATAATACCTGATTCTGGTTTGGATCTTGTACTTGAGGGAAAGAATTGGCATAAAGGACATTATCAGGTCAACTGACAAAACTGGGATACAGATAGATTAGAAGAGTGTATGGTATCAATGTAACTGTGTGAAGTTGATAACTGTACTTTGATAACATAAGAGTATATCCTTATTCTTAAGAAATACACACTAAAATATTTAGGGATAAAAGGCTATGATGTATACAATTTACTATCAGATAAAAGAATGTTATGAAATTGGAGCAGATGATACAGAAGATGCGGTAAAATGTTAATAATAAGTGAATCTGGATACAGGGTATAAAGGCATTCTTTGTATTATTCTTATTCTTGCAACTTTTCTAGAAGCGTTAAAGAATTTCAAAATAAATAGTTAAAAATAAATAAATTGGAGGAGTTTTGGAGATAATCCATTAAGTGAGCAGAAGGCTATCTAGATTACACTTCATGCAGAAATACTTATTGCACAACTACTATGTAACGGACACTAGTCTAGACACTTGGGTACATCAGTGAACAAAACGGACAAAACTACCTGCCCTCATAGAGCTTACTTGATGGTGGGAGAGTGAGGTAGTAAGTGAGATGGAAAAAGAGACAGGAATGAGAAAAATTGGACTTGGAGGGTGTCGCCAGCAAGCCAAGGAGGAGCCCTGGACAAGTTGTCAAGAGGGCTCCATCCTATCCTGATTCTGCCATAACCTTTGTGCAATCGTGCATGTCATCTTCTCTTCTTATCTTATTTGTAAAATGAAATGATTAGGTAAGACTCTGGGCTCCACAGGGACAGGAAATGTGTCTGCTTCTGTTTTACGATTGTTGCCAGCTGCTGAATTTCAGCTTTTCTCACAAAGTCTAGCACAAAGCAGATGATCAGTAAGAACTTCTGGAGTCAATGAAAATGGATATTTGATCTCCAAAGTCCTTTTCAACTCTGTGATTTCAAATATGATTCAAATAATCTCAAAGGAGGTGGCACCACTACAGATTCTACAGATATTAAAAGGATAATGAGGACATATCATGAACAACTTTATGCCAGTAAATTCAATAACGTAAATGAAATATACAAATTCCTGAAAAGACAAATTATCGAAGCTCAGGCAGGAATAAATAGACAATACGAAAAGCTCTATATGTAGGAAAGAAATTGACTTTGTAGCTAAAAACCTTCCCACAAGGAAAACTGTAGGTCCAGATAGTTTTACTAGTGAATTCTATCAAATATTTAAGAAATAATATCAGTTCTACACAAATGCTTCCAGGAAATTGAAGAAGAGGAAATGCTTCACAATTCACCTTATGAGCCCAGTATTACCCTGATACCAAAAACCAGACAAAGAGCTTACAAGAAAAGAAAACTACCAACCACTATCTCTCATGAACATAGACGCAAAAATTCCTAACAGATTACCTCCAAATGTAGACATTTGGAGGTTGGGTGAGATTCTGATATAAGCACTGGCTACGGGTGGTGGCTTAGCTGAAATGGAATGTGAGGGCAGATAAGAAGTTATGTCAAAGATAGTGAGTTTCCACAAACTGAATATAAACTTTGATTTTACTGTGAGGTTTCAGCAGTACACTCACAGAATTCCAGGCCAAAGACTGCTTTTCCCTGGTCCAGACTTTCAGGTCAAGGATTACCTGACCCCAAATGGATTATACCCTGCCTTTGCACTGTGACATGACTGCCTCTGTGGGGAGAGGGGAATCATTTCTCCTCAGCTAAACTAAACCCCTTGGGGGAAGGAAGACCTTACAATTTCCTGCTTTTCCTCCATGCCTGGCAGGGGTTTTGTGGGAGTGTATTTGCTTGACTGAATGGAATTTTAGGCAGCTGGCTGTATACCAGATGGGTGGACCACAAAAGGAAAAGAAGAAAACTGACAGCAGCTCTGGCATATTGAAAACCACATATAACCTGGAGCTTTGGGATATGAGAAGGCAAGCTGAGTCCAATATCAAGTCACAGATCCTTTTCTAATTCTGAAAAATAACAGTGACTCAGAATGTGTCTGCTGGCCAGAATCAAGGACTCTGGAACTCATGATATCCACCATGTCTACATTTCAGCTCCCAAATTATGATGCCAAAATACTACATCCAAAGGAGTTCCATCAAAACCATCCAGCTCACCTTGGTTGTATACAGTTCTGCTGTTGATGGAAAATTCCTCCACCTATCCAGACACTTGTCTGTCAGAATCTTTAGAAGAAAGATTGGGCCTTAAAGAAAGCTTTGGGGATTTAAACTGCTGGTGGCAAAGAGACTTGGATCCAAATCTCACCTTTATCACTTACTGTCTGGGCTACCTGAGACTTTTGAGCCTAAGCTTCCTCATGTAAAATGGTGGTGATCACACCTTACAGGGTTGTCATGAAGATCAAATGAGATCATGCATGTAAAGCTCTTGGACACTAGAAGTATTTAAAAAATGCCACCAGCTATTATTTCAGGACAAGCCCCATTAAGTAATCTGGGGATGTCTTGGTTGAAATCCAATCAGCATGCCTGTCACTCTCCACAGGAGGTAGATTTTCTCTCTTCGGTGGATACAAAAGCTTCCAAGAAAGCCACTGTGTCTTCTTGTCCCATTCTCTCCTCTCTCAGCCCCACTGAGCCCAGCAGGTGCTTAGCTGGGTCTCACAGAAGCCTTCTAGACTTACTCTCAGAATTGAATTTATTTCAAGACACACAGTTAACTGACAGGAAAGACCACGCTGCTTCCCCGTTGAATCTCATACCACCACCTGGCCCGGGTGCATACGGTCTAAATGAGGATACAGAACTGAAACCTCACAGTATGATACTGCTCTCCATAAAAAGCTTCACACACTTGCTTCACGTTACTAAAGTCAGGGGCAGAGGGAAAGAGAAAATAAGAAAAGCCCCTTATATTTTCCATGGCGTTGTCACAAAAAGCTGTTCTACGCCATGTGAAGGAGATGAGCCCAACAAATGCGGACCTGGTGCCCTCAGAGGGGAGCACTTTCAGGAGGACCTCTCTGGCTGGAAAGAGGAAGCAGAGCTCAAAGGCAGCATTCTACCAAAACAGCAGCTACTCCCGCAGTGAGGTTCCAGGTGCTCTCCGTGGGCAGTGATGGGAACTCAGCTTCCTCAGTGACAGAAATAGCACAAAACAGCGAGGATAACTGACCAGGACAAAAGAGAGAGAAGACAGACTGCCACTCCCTAGGATAGCAAGATGAGCAAGGGTGATGACAGAAAGTTGTCAGTCACAATGCAGTGCCTGTGATAGAATGCTAAAGGGACACCCCAGACATTTAGAGCTGCTTATGGAGGAAGAGGAGGGAGGGTCAGAGTGCCTGGGGAAGACCGGGAAGGGTTTCCTTGAGAGTGGACAGTGTACCCTGTGAAGTGGGCCTCCCTCTCTGAGCCCCAGGATTAGCAAATGTAGGAAAAAAAATGTGCTTCAGAGGAAAGCTATGCATTGTCTACGGCACACCCTTCTTCCTTACTGGATTCTGATACTATAGGAGCCGTTTTACAACTTCTTGTAGATTGTAGATAAAACTGATAAGCATACCCAGTCTAAACATTGGCATAAAAACACCCAAGGCTCACCTGTTTACTCAGTGGTTGTAAGTGAAGTGAATAGCTTTGTAGCCCTAGTACGTAAGGTCAGGTACATACGTAATCAAGTTTCGTTCTGCTAATTAAATCATTAATTTTGTGGCAAAAGAATTTAACCTCTATTTCTTAAGTTTCCATTAGTATTGAGAAAGCAGCGTGTGCTACCTGGAAATATCCAAGAAACTAATTATCTAGGGGAATGTATGAAATAGGCCACATATTCTAGTGCCCTATTAAACATAATCCTAATGGTGATGATGTCTTGTAATAGTTGTATAATAGTTGATGGCATATAAACTGCTCTCACATGTATTGCTTCATTTCATTTTCACAACACTCCTCACTCTCCCCTGGATGTTCTCTGCTTTCTCTAGGCACGAGACACCTCCATGAATACATCTCCAGGTTGGGTCATGGGATTACTATCTTCTCGTTCTCCAACAAGGAACTGGGGACTCAGGAAAGCCAAAGACTTCATTAAGCTGGCAGCTGTGATGTGCTCCTAGTAGATACGTTCCACTTTAGAACCCATCGTGGTCCCTCTCTCTGTTTCTGTACAGAAGAAGTTTTACCTGTGAGTTTATCAGGCGAATGGTAGTTTTCGTACCCACATCTTGTTGGAAATTGGCTGTGGGTGCCGCGTTAAACCTCAGGACAGCATCATGATCATCTATAAACCACAAGGAAACAGAAAAGAGGTGAGTAGCACTAGCAATATGCAGAAAGAGAGGACTGGAGGAGAGAGCATAGGAGGAGGTGGAGGGGGCAAGAGAATAATGCCTTCCAATTTTTATCCCATCTTGATAAGCTGGGAAAAATCATTATGTTTGTATGGTGCAATCACGTAAATCTCAGACAGAAATGACCACCTGCAGTGCCTGGCCACTGCAAGGGCAAAAGGGGTCTATATCTGAAACCCAGTCAAGACACTAGTATGCCTAGTTACAGCAGAAAAGTGAACAGGGTTGTCGCAGATTGAATTGTGCCCCCCAAAAATGTCTGTCAACTTGACTAGGTCATGATTCCCACTATTGTATGATTGTTTACCATTTTATCATCTAACGTGATTTCCCTGTGTTATAAACTCTATCACTATGATGTAATATGATGGATTAGCAGCAGTTATATTGATGAGGTCTATAAGATTAGATAGTGTCTTAAGCCAATCTCTTTTGAGATATAAAAGAGAGAAGTGAGCAGAGACACATGGGAACCTCACACCACCAAGAAAGCAATGCCAGGAGCAGAGCGCATCCTTCAGACCTGAGGTTCCTGCACAGAGAAGCTCCCAGGCCAAGGGAAGACTGATGCATCACAAGGACCTTTCTCCAGAGATGACAGAGAGAGAAAGCTTTCCCCTGGAGCTGATGCCTTGAATTTGTACTTGTGGGCTGCTTGACTGTGAAAGAATAAATTACTTTTTGTTAAAACCATCCACTTGTGGTATTTCTGTTATAGCAGCACTAGATGACTAAGACAAGGGACAATGTACTACTTGTGTGGAATCACTATTCCAGTTGTCAAAGGAGCAAACCAAATATTGTCTTGGTATTACCAGTAAATCATATTTCTATCCCTGTCAGAAAAATGAAGACTCTGCCATATACTCAGTCTACCCCACAAGCACAAAGTACCCCATGGCCTTCTGAAACGTGTGCCATGCTCTGCAAATGGAAGAGATTCACTATGACATCCAAGACAACCCCCTAAGAGTTTGGTTTAGGAACATGAGACCCACGGAAGGGTCACAAACCTCAATGTATTCTATTTTCTCTCTCTCTCTGTCTCTTTTTTTTTACGTAAGCACGTTGTTGGAAATAATGTCCTAAATTGAGCCAAGATCAAATAATCCACCTCAAAAAAATCTATTCACTTCCTGGGCTCTTTTTCCCTGTCCTTGCAGCTGTTGAAGCAGAGTTTGGAAGACTTGGACAAGTTTCTACATCCAGAAATTGGCCAATCTGATTGGGGTGAGAATTGATGACTTTTAAGGTGCATCCCAAACCTGAGTGTCTATGATCCTAAGAAAACTCATCCCAACCTTATTTGATCAAGCAAGTCTGGAGTTTATCACTGAAATGTGCACAACATTTGGGGGTCAACCCAATCCTCCATTGTTCTAGTTCCCTCCAGGTGGATTCGTTTTGGGTTGTTCTTGATCCACACAGGAGGAATGGGGTGGGGTGAGTAGGGTGAGCATTTGGCTTAGTATAAGACACTCTGAGAAGAGGATGCCCATAGAATTAAGGGATGAAAGCCTCCTTCTTTATTACAGTTCCAACATATATACTAAGGCTCGGGGATCTGGACACCTTAGTCACGAAAACAATGTAGCCATATTTTCAGGACAAAATTTCACTGAAATGGCTTGAAAGTTACACAGGCACACTAAACTGCAAATCGGACAGGAGGTACATCTTTACACAATTCAGAACTGCAACAAGTTTTGTCATGACATTGGTATCACAAGTGATCAGTCACACTAGATATGCAGATTCATCAGAAACTTCACTTACTTAGTTAGCTTTCCCATTCTGCAGATAAATAATTGGTCAGGGCCCTAGTACAAGAGATAATAAGCTCAAATGAAGTAACTGAGGAGAGTTCAGTAAAGGGATGATTTACAAAGGAATATTGGGTGTCTCTCTCTGTGTGCTTGTCTTCTCTGGCACACAACAATAAACCCTAAATCTCCTCTCTGATACCAACTACAAGTGCAGTCCTACTTCTTCAGACCCCAACCACCACAACTAGGTCGGATCTGTATGCTGAGCAAACAGCTGAAGGGCGTAGTCCTCCAGACTGCCAAGTCTTTCCAAAACTTCAGACACCAGTCTCAAGCTAGGGGGTCGCCACACACTTTCACTTCTATAATGCGGTCCACTAATTGGGGGGATCTCTCTACCCCCCCCCAGGATGCCAGCTATAAGTTTGGGGGTACTCAGGCCCCCCTCTCCCTGCAGTACAATGCTGTCAGTGATAGGATAATATCCATATGCCTACAAGGAAGACCAGTTAATACAACTACTATTCAAATTTACCCACCATCAACGAATGCCAAAGATGAGGAAACTGAAGATATTTTACCAACTTCTGCAGTCTGAAATTGATCACACATGCAACCAAGATGCATTGATAATGGTGATAAGAATGTGAAAGCTGGAAACAAAGAAGAAGGATCTGTGGATCTGTGGATGGAAAACATGGCCTTGGTGATAGAAGTGATACTGGAGATTGCACGATAGAATTTTGCAAGACCAATGACTTATTCATTGCAGATACCTTTTTTCCAACAACATAAATAGCAGCCATACACCTGGAACTCACTGGATAGAAAATACAGGAATCAAGTCGACTACATCTGTGGGAAGAGGCAATGGAAAAGCTCAATATCATCAGTGAGAACAAGACCAGAGGCCAACTGTGGAAGAGACCATCAATTGCTCATATGCAAGTTTAAGTTGAAGCTGAAGAAAATTAAAACAAGTCCATGAGAACCAAAATACAACCCTAAGTATATGCCACCTGGATTTGGAGACCATCTCAAGAACAGATTTGACACACTGAGCACTAATGAGCGAACACTAGACGAGTTGTGGGATGACATCCAGGACATCATACATGAAGAAAGCAAAAGGTCACCAAAAAGACAGGAAAGAAAGAAGACCAAAATGGATGTTAGAAGAGACTCTGAAACTTGCTCTTGAATGTCAAGTAGCTCAAGTGAATGGAAGAAATGAGGAAGTAAAAGAACTGAACAGATTTGAAAAGGCAGCTCAAGAAAACAAGGTAAAGTATTATAACAAAATGTGCAAAGACCTGGAGTTAGAAAACCAAAAAAGAAGAACATGCTCGGCATTTCTCAAGCTGAAAGAAAGGAAGAAAAAATTCAAGCCTTGAGTTGCAACTTTGAAGGATTCTATGGGCGAAATAATGAACAACTCAGGAAGCATCAAAAGAAGATGGAAGAAATACACAAAATCACTGTACCAAAAAGAATTGGTTGATGTTCAACCATTTCAGGAGGCAGCATATGATCATGAAGCGATGGTACTGGAGGAAGAAGTCCCAGCTGCACTGAAGGCACTGGCAAAAAAACAAGGCTCCATGAATTGATGGAATACCAACAAAGATGTTTTAACAAATGGATGCAGAACTGGAGGTGCTCACTTGTCTATGTCAACAAATTTGGAAAAGAGCCATTATTGATGCCCATTCCAAAGAAAGGTGATCCAACAGAATGCAGAAATTATTGAACAATATCATTAATATCACATGCAAGTAAAATTTTGCTGCAGATCATTCAAAAATGGTTGCAGCAGTACATCAACAGGGAACTGCCAGAAATTCAAGCTGGATTCAGAGGAGGACATGGAACGAGGGATATCATTGCTGATGTCAGATGGATCTTGGCTGAAAGTAGAGAATACCAGAAAAATGTTTACCTATATTTTATTGACTATGCAAAAGCATTCAACTGTGTAGACCATAACGAATTATGGATAACATTGTGAAGAATAGGAATTGCAGAACACTTAATTGTGCTACTGCAGAACCTGTACACAGACCAAGAGGCAGTCATCTGAACAGAACAAGGGGATATCACATGGTTTAACATCAGGAAAGGTGTGCATCAGGGTTGTATCCTTTCACCATATTTATTCAATCTGTATGCTGAGCAAATAATCTGAGGAGCTGGATTATATGAAGAAAAATGGGGCATCAGGATTGGAGGAAGATTCATTAACAGCCTGTGATATGCAGATGACACAACCTTGCTTGCTGAAAGTGAAGAGGCCTTGAAGCACTTACTGATGAAGATCAAAGATTACAGCCTTCACCGTGGATTACACCTCAACATAAAGAAAACAAAAATCCTCACAACCGGACCAATAAGCAACATCATGATAGGTAGAGAAAAGATTGACGTTGTCAAGGATTTCATTTTACTTGGATCCACAATCAATGCCCACAGAAGCAGCAGGCAGGAAATCAAAGGACGCATTGCATTAGGCAAATCTGCTGCAAAATACTTCTTTAAAGTGTTGAAAAGCAAAGAAGTCACTTTGAGGACTAAGGTATGCCTAACTCAAGCCATGATATTTTCAGTTGCCTCATATGCATGCAAAAGCTGGACAGTGAATGAGGAAGACTGAAGAAGAATTGACATCTTTGAATTATGGTGCTGGCGAAGAATATTGAATATACCATGGGCTGTCAGAAGAACAGACAAATCTGTCTTGGAAGAAGTACAGCCAGAATGCTCCTCAGAAACAAGGATGGCGAGAGTTTGTCTCACGTCCTTTGGACCTGTTATCAGGAGGGAACAGTTCCTGAAGAAGAACATCATTCTTGGTAAAATAGAGAGTCATTGAAAAAGAGGAAGACCCTCAACAAGAAGGACTGACACAGCGGCTGCGAGGATGGGCTCAAGTATAGTAACAATTGTGAGGATGATGCAGGACTGGGCAGTGTTTTGTTCTGTTGTACATGGGGTCACTATAAGTCAAAAGTGACTTGACGGCACCTAACAACAACTTGGTGTGTTTGCACAACAGCAGAGTTGAACAGTTGTGGCAGACACTGTACAGCCCTCAAGGCCAAAAACATTCACTATCTGGCCTTTTAGAGAAAAAAGTTTGCTGGCTCCTAATATAAACAATCACACTCTGCCAGCTACTCAATCCAAGGGTATCTTCTCAGTTCTCACTCTGCTCAAGAACCTGCTCCACTCTGCAGCCTCTAATGCCACTGGCCACCATCTCCCAAACCCCATCCTCCTTTGCCTTCCACAATATGGCACATGCCTCTCTCACTGGCCTTTCAGAAATTTTTTGCTTGTCCCACTTCTTTCCCTGTCCTTCAAATATAAATCTTCTGATAGACAGATAGCTGCCATTGACTCAAGGCAATCTTCCATACAAAAGAATGACACGTTGCCTTGCCCTGTGTCATCCTCACAATTGCCAGCATGTTTGAATCCATCACTGCAGCTACTGTGCCAATTCATCTCACTGAGAGTTTCCCTCACCCTCAGTGACCCTCTACTTCACCAAGCACGATGTCCTCTTCTAGCGACTGATCCCTCCTGATGATACATCTAAAGCAAGCAAGTTGGACAATGTTCTGTTGCGATCCATAAGGTTTTCATTGGCTAATTTTCAGAAGTAGATCGCCAGGCCTTTTTTCGTAGTCTGGCTTAGCCTGGAAGTGTCACTGAAATTGTCTACCATGGGTGACCCTGCTGATATTTAAAATACCAGGGGCATAGATTCCAGCATCATAGCACATGCAAGCCACCACAGTACAACAAACTGACAGACTGGTGGTAGAGTCTTCCTCCAGGTTTTGTAAATGATCCTTTTCCCTGGACTACAATGATCACCTTGACTCACCTCGTGGAGAGGCTTTGCACCTCTGCTGAGCACGCTTGGGGGTGGTGCCCCAGGTAAGGGTACCCCAGCGGGCAGCCCACGGGAGGCTGCAGCGTCACCTGTCGGTGCGCACCTCCCCCTGGGTTGTCGCCCATGCCGCCTTGGCTAGGCCCAACCCATTGGGGGCGCTATGGTGCCACCTGGCCTGCCATGGTGGCGCACAGAGGCTGGTGCGTGCTGAAACACTGCACAAAAATTTTACAGTCATTTTGGTGTCACCCCCTCTGACAGTGTCACCTCGTGTGGTCTGCACCACCTCCCCACCACCGCCCGCCAGTGACACCACTGCTGGAGACTCACTCAGTATATTATTACAACCTCTCGGGTGAACGATCTATTCACAATGGACCAAAAAGAGCCATAGACCTTATCTTACTTGGTCTCCTAGTCCCACTGCTGAGGATTTTTCTCTGCTGGAGGGTAGTGGTAGTCACTTGTTATCTGCACAAAAATCTTGTTAGCAGTACTACTTGGAAGAGCAAATACTCTGAAGCCATCTGATATGTTCTATAGGTGGGAATGGGCTCAACAAATTCTGGATGTGGTGGGAAGGCTATATGTGTCTGGCATGCCACCTGGTACGCAGAGGGCCTTCAACAAAGGGTTGCCTCCCTTGCCCTTTCCCTTTGTACTCTGAGCTCAAGGAGCCCTGGTGGTGCAGTGGTTAAGCACTCAACTGTTAACCAAAAGGTTGGTGGTTGGAACCCACCAGCCGCTGCACGGGAGAGAGAAGTGGCAGTCTGCTTCCATAAAGATGACAGCCTTGGAAACCCTACGGGGCAGTTCTACTCTGTCCTATAGGATCGCTATGAGTTGGAATGGACTCGACCAGAGCGAGTTTGGTTTTTGAGGTTACTCTAAGTTCATTTTTTGTATTGTTGATGAATACATGAATGAGTAAAAGAATAAATGCTGAATGCCTTCAAGTACCTGTTAGACTAAATTTCCACAGGCTATACCTTACAAAAGGCAAAACGTTTGAAGTCTAACATGCAATTTTTTATTGTATTTCAGGATCAAAGTCCGTCTGTGGAAATAGATATTTGAAATTATAATGGAAGTCTATGGAAAAAGATTATTTTAATTAATGTTTACTTAAGTCACTCAAAGCTTTTACAGAGTATATAAAAACAAAGCTGTAGCCTGAGTGAAATATGTCAGTCTCAAAAGGACAAATGCTGAATGATTTATATAAAATAAGCAAATATATACAAACTAGAGATTATTAGAGGTTACCAGGGGTGCGGAGAAAGGGGAAAGGGGAATGCTTGCTTAGGGGGCATTGAATTTATGTTAATGGTGATAGAATAATTTGGAAAAGGACAAAGAGAATGGTTACATAATGTGAAGAATGTAATCAATGTCACTGAATGACTGAATGTAGAAATTGTTAAATTGGCATATGTTTTGTTATGTCTATTTTCACCACGATAAAAAAAAAAAGGAAAGAAAGAAACATAAAAAACAAAGCTGTTGTTCCAATTCTCAGAGGTCTCATACGCTGCCTCAAACTTCAACCCAGTTCCACCCAGGTAGACACGATAACCTGACATGAAGACGAAGAACCGGCTAACAACTAGGATATTCTAAATATGAATATTATGGAAAAAATATAGAGAAGAGAGAAGGAAATTTAGCTCCATTATGATGAAAAGGAGTCTTGGTGTTACAGTGTTTCAGAGCTATGGCTATTAACCAAAAGGTCGGCAGTTCAAATCCATCAGCCACTCCTTGGAAACCCTATGGGGGAGTTCTGCTCTGTCCTGTAGGGTCATTATGAGTTGGAATTGACTCGAGAGCAATGAGTTCATGGATGAAAAAGTACCAATCACATTTCGTTTCTAGAAAACTAAGCCCAGAAGGAAGCCAAGAAGGCAAAAGCAAACGCTGGGGAGAAGCTCGTCATCTTGGCAGCTTTTATTAGTAAATGCTGCCTGTTTGGAAAGGTAGAAAATGTGATTTCACCACTTCTTCCTGCTCTAGAGAATCCAACTTCATCTACTTCTCTTCTTTTGAGACTCTGTGCTTGGTTTCAGAACATTTTTCCTGGTAGTCACATGAAGGAAATAAAAAAGGAGACACATGACATCACCCGCACCAGGACCTTCCAGAACCTGACGGACAGCATGGCTACCTGGGCTTTGCTTCTGTACCCTGATTCATTTCACAGTAATGAAAACCACATTCTCTCAGACAAGGCAAACAGGAAGTCTTAAGCAAATTCAGATCTCTCCATTGTACACATGTTTACATATATGGGTAGGTTGTCTATCATTATTAACTGCAAAGGGTTTCAAGAAGAGCAAATTTGTATATTCTGACCAGTGATTCTTAGCCTTTCTTGGGTCATGGACCCCTCTGAGAATCAACTGAAAACTATGGATTCTCTCCCTGGAAAAATGCACAAATACATACATCTTATACACACTCAATACACAAATAGTTTTGCAGACAATTTTATGGATTTTGAACTCCCTGAAGTTGGTATACACCCCCAAAGTTAAAAATTCCAGCTCTTATTATTTTCAAAGACAAAAGCTGAAGATTAGCCAGGTAGTTGAGACCAAAAAAGACAACCAACCAGTTGCCATGGCGTCTATTCCAACTCATGGCGACCCCATGTCAGAGTAGAACTGTGCTCCATGGGCCTTTGAATGGCAATTTTTTTCAGAAGTAGATCACTGGGCCTTTCTTCAGAGGCACATCTGGGTGGATTCAAACCTCTAACTTTTCAGTTAGTGGTCAAGCACATTAACCATTTGTACTACCCAGGGATTCCTAGAAGACACAATTGGTCCGCAATTAACCAGGTAAAATTACAGAAGTTCAGGACCTGAAGATATGTAGGGATCTATTCTTCAATTATTTTCAAAGGTCAATTGTAGTTTTTTGCTTATTGGTGGTAGTGGAACTCTCTCTTCAAATGAAATCTTCTGTAGAACGCCAATATTTAAAACAGATAAAATAAAACCGTTCTGATTAATAAAGGTATAAAGGGCCTGGATCGCCATCCTTTCCACTGCCCCAGTGGCACCTTTGACTCCATGAAAGATAACTGAAAGTCACTGACCTGTGCCCGCTCCACTGATCCCTGGAGCCACACTTGGGCCCCTTGTGTCTAATCACCATCAGTACACCCTTGCTACTCCAAAGCAGCTGTTAAGACAACAACCTTAACAACACCTGGAACCCACCTATTTCTCGGCCCAGTTGGGAGGACTTCAGAGATCCTGCTGAAGAGACAACAGCACACTTGCCCCACGGCCCAGCCTTGGTCCTGATGTTCTCCTTGGGCAGGTAACCCTCCCACTCGGAGGTATTGAAGGGAAAATCTATGGACTCTACCATGGATACATTCACGTGGTTCCGGAGGTGGCAGCGCAGGGCCTCTGCACTCAACTTGACCCCTGGCCCTGGCCCCTTATAGGATACTTTGTACTTGTTCATGTTCAGGTAATTTTTCCTGATATTCTGCAACCTGGAGGGGAGGTTTTTGGAAGAGCTGTCCTTGTTCCACACCTGGAAGGAGGGCTGTGGCTTGGCCTTGGCTGAGGCCTTGGTGCAGTTGAGGGCCTGGTTGCTCCTGCGGAGGTGCTGGGTGCTGACTTTTGACTGTGGACCAGACCCCATGGCCATTTTCCCCAGACCCATCACCAGCGGGGATCCTTCAGTTTCCCATTTAAGGGAATCATAGTAACTCCCTTTCTTCATTTCCTTCCACACACAGACGATGGCAAACAGGAAAAAGGCCAGGACAAAGCAGCTAAGCTTTTTCCTGAGGATGATGTGAATCATAATGAAAGACGCGTTCAGGGAAGCCGCTTCGTTCTAAGGAGGAAAACAGGCCTAAAAAAAGTGAGAGAAGAAAAAATAAATTATGTAAAGAAAATCCAGAAGTGGTAATCGACGTAAGGCTGGGTGATGGGCCAACCAATGGATTTAGAGTGAGGAGAACAGAATTCTAGCCCTGGACTATCTCCTACCAGCTACCTTAAGCAACTCTCAAAAAAAAATTCAACCTCAGCTTGGGCTATGTACATAGAGGGCAGTCCTTCTGACGGCCCTTTTCTTCCTCTCTGAGCCATAAGCACTTTACATATTCTTCCACCATTCCTTTTCACACTCTGAATCTTAGTTTTGCATTCTCTTGGTCTAGCGCCCAGGCTGCACTCTGAGCTTTTGAGGGCAGGAACTATGTCTTACACACCAGTTCAGCTCTTAAGTAAGACCTGCCCTGTTAAATAAATGCACGCAAGCTTGAAAAAATAGAATGAAAAGGAAGAGCAGGCTGATTTGTCTACCTCACCAGAACTCAACCTCCCTGAAACCCTAAGAAGGCCTACACCCTTTAAAATAGCCAGAAAGAGACCTCTTGCCATAGACAATGCCACAGATTTATAATGTATCTCTCTAAGAGCTTTGGTGTTAGAATCCCGCATGAGAAGAAGACCAAAGGTTAGCTTCATAACATTCAGCTTTCCGTAGCACTTAGCAAGAACACTAAGAGATGGGAAGGTGACTCACCTCATGGTTGAGGATTGCAAATCTTGATAAGACAGTCAACATGTGACCATTTAAGGAAACAAAAACAAAACTTCATTGAGCAAACCATGTTATTTCATACAATTTCACCATAACCAGGGCCACAATGACACCCAACTCCAGGAAGCACCATTCACTTCAGAACCTAATATGAAGGGCATCTCCTGAGCTGTGCAGAGGAGCCCTGACCATAACTAGCCATGAAAGCGTATTAATCCCCATTTTTATAGATTAGCAACATGAGGCTCTGAGAGGTCAAGGGAAGTGTCCAGGACAACAGAGCTGAGTAAATGGTTGCACTGAGGTTCAAATCCAAGTGCACTTGATTCCATAATCCATGTCCTACACCACATGTAGAACTGCTGCAATTTCTGGAAAATGGATTTCACTAAGCAAATGGAGCCTGAATAGTTGTCTTTATATCTAGGTAAAGGCCTAGTTTGTTTTCTCAGAATTTATTGTGTAACTAAATGAAAGATGGAAGCACTTTGAACTCAAACAATGTCTGCATCCTTTGGAAAACATTAAGTTCTTTCCTAAATCACTAGGTTTATTTTACCAGAATGAGTCAAAACAATTGCACCCACAGTTTTTCTAACCCACGAGGGGTCTGCCGTACCTTCCCATGGAGTCCATTCCCAAGAATATCAGGGATAAGGTGGTAGAGTACTGACTGTGTATTCGTGTAACCTATGTCCTTGTTCCCATTCTTGGTGAACTTGGACAGATCACTTAATCTCTTTGTGCCTACATTCCTGCAAAATAATCATCTCTGCTGTATATCATTCCTGGAGTTTTGGGAAGGGTCAGACAGAGGATGATGCTAATGGGCTTTGAACTAGGTCAACGTACCAGCACAAGAGGTACATTGAATAGAGATGGGGGGCTGCATGAGGGCGAGGTGGGGGCCATGTGGGCCAAGAAAGAGGGCAGAGTGGTCACAACTAATCAACCTGAGCTTTGGACTCTTCATTTGGAATCTCGGGTCCTGACTGCTTTGGAATCCACTGGCAATACCAACCAAAGCAGCGCTTGCCACCATCTCAGAGCCCTCTGATGGCTCTGAGGTTCCTACCTCTGGCGGCTGAAGTTTTAGAAGGGATGACATGCACACAGAGGGAGAATTATTCAAATATGAGACCATAAAGTGGTAAGGGGGCTTGCTGCATTGTCAAAAAACTAAGGAATTCCATTTCCTCTAACATTCAGTGCAGCTGATCACATGACCCTGTCACAACTGGAGATGAACTAGAGAAGAAGGGAAAGCAGCATTTAAGGAGGACCTACTACGCGCTAGGTGCTTTACATGCCATGTCTCATGTAATTCTCACCACAATACTACGGGATAGAGATTGAAAACTGCGTTCTAGAAAATTAAGAAGCTGAGACTTAGCAAGGTTATGAGACTTCGCCACGTCAACAGGTAATCAGTGCTTGAACCAGAATTCCAGCCCAGATGGGTCTGACTCTAAAGTTCACAGACTTTCTACAAAAGAACAGGTGTGATAAGGGGCAATGAAAAGTCAGTGTTGACGAAGCAGGGCTCGGGAATCAGGGTCCCTAGAGAAATAATCCAGTCTGCCAGGTTATTTGCAGAAAAGTCACACTCACCATCCGTGTTGCTTTAGCCATTACGTGTGTGTAATGAGGCCCTTTCACTTTATGTTCTATACAGCCCTGTGAGACAGGCAGAGAAGATCTTATTAGCACCATTTATAGCTGAAGAAAGGGGTGACTTGTCAATGCAAAGCAATTTTCAAAGTTGCATGACTTGGAAATGGCAGAGTTAGGACTTGACTTCTATGTGTATAGGTGAAAGGAGACTGTGGGGTGGGGGGCCAGGATTCATTTTCTCTAGAGCTGAGGCTCAGAGGGAGCTGGTATTTAGCAGGCTGGTCCAAGCTTCCTGCCAGTACCTATTCTCAAAGGTTGGGTTTCCTAGGAAAGAATTTCCGCAAAAAGCCAGGCTGAACGACGATCTTGTACCCCTCAGACATACTCAGCTTTTGGGGCCTATACCCCATTATGGCCTCAGAGCACTCACTTTTAGCCTCGCATTAAGGCTCACATGGACCGTCTGTTGAGACTCCAAGCCCACCAGCTGGCTGGAGTTTCTACTCATAGGCACTTAGAGCTTCTAGACACTTTTTCCTCTCTCAAAGTGTTCTAATGACATAAGCTGAAGAAGTTTCATCTAAACAGCCCGACTGAGGGAAAGGAGAAGCAAACTTCTCTCCACAAATTTTTTGGGGAAACAGACCAACCTTTGAATTTCCCAGTCACACTGGACTGATTTCGTAAGTCTCCGGGCCCTGGCACTGCTGCATTCTCTCCCCTGGTCCATCTGTCTGTCCACTCAGACAGCATCGCCTTTCTGCTCTGACCACCAGTGGGGCTCACCTGCTCTGCAGCACTCTCCTTGCTCCTCAGGAAATCGAGTGCTTTGCAGTGCTTGCATCTGCTAGATATGAACTCCTCCCGGCACTCTTTCTGAAAGCCCAGTGTCCAGCACAGGGCCTGAAACAGAGTGGGCACTCAATAAACCATGCTTGAACGAATATAACTATGTCAACGAACCCCAACAACCACAATGAAGATTCTAGAACAAGAATATAATAACAGCTTGCATTATCACCTGCAGAGACAAAGCCAACACTGAACCAACAGAAGGAAAAACTCAGCCAAAGTAAGGATCCTTCCCTGATCTACAAATCATTGCACGCTCAAGACCAGACACACTGTTTGGTGCACAGTAGGTGCTCAAAACTGGTTGGGTGAATTACAGAATAATTTCAAATCTTATATTTATAGTTTAGAGAGATGAGCAAACCACCTATCCCACCCCATCCACCTTACTGATTCAGAGGGTAAGCCCCCCAGAAAACCAAACCCGTTGCCATCGAGTGGATTCTGACTCATAGCGACCCTAGAGGACAGAGCAGAACTGCCCCATAGGGTTTCCAAGGAGTGGCTGGTGGATGCGAACTGCCGACCTTTTGGTTCGCAGCCAAGCTCTTACCCACTGTACCACTAGGACTCCTCAGAGGGTAAAGAGGACAAAAAAAAAAAAAAATGCTTGAAAATAGCAAAGCTGTAGCCAGACACTGAAACCTGTGACTTTTTGCCGGCACACTTCACTGTCCAATTTTTTATGCATAAATGTATTCCTTTGCTGCCTCCATAGCCCATGCCTTTGACCTTACCTACTGCTGGCTGCTGGCTATTCTCCCTGTGACTGCCGGCCCTCCAGGTCTTCAGGAACTGGCGTTCTTCTCCATGGGAGGGACGTTCGCTTTACGGGGTCTGGAGGCCAAGGCTCATTCTTCCCAGGACGATCAAACACCATCTGCAGTGGAAAAAGAAGCGGTGAGAGCTGTTTTCCAGCAGGGGCAGCGTTAAACATTAACAAGATGGGTAGGGACACATTTTGGCTGGTCTCTAGCATTGGCCCTTGCCAGCTGTGGTGCAACCCCAGGAGGCCCTGAGGGCTCAGGGAAAAAAAAGAGCCTATTACAGGTGCGGTGCCCTGTTTCCCTCAACAGCACAGAGTCTAGACAGAGACCAGCGATAGATAAGAACACACGAGAAAGAGAAAGCAGGCACCAGGGACCAATCTGCGAAAAAAGGATCGTTTAGTCAGTAGTCTTGGGAGAAATAAAGACAGAGCAACTTGAGGGGGAGAAATTAAGTTCCTCCCAAAATAAACTCATCAGACTTTCAAAAGAATTACTTATTTTCAAAAAAATATTTAATATGTGAAAGTTCAATCAAGAAAATGTTAACTGGAAGAAAAGGTACAAAACCGTGTGTAGCGTACTCTCCAAAGTTAAAAAAAAGCACACCCTCGGAGAGAGCGACAGACAGAAAGGACGAGGAAAAAATACACCCTGGGTGGGAGAATAATGGATGTTTTCATTTTTTAATAATTTTTATATATTCCAAAATTTCTATAATGTGCTATTGCACATTAGAGATAAAAAAAAACACAAAAATGTAATTTCATAAAGCTAAAAATAGAATTCTATATTTGTCCGCTCTCTCTTCTTTTTGATGCAATGTAGAGAAAATAACGAAAGAAAAGATTCACAGATTCAACTTTCCACGCCATAACAAATTCCAACTTCCATACAAGGAAAAATATTATAGCTACAATAAAAAGGAAAATGACAGTCAAAGTGAGCAAAGTGTTAATCCAGTAAAAACCCACCAAAATAAACAGGAAATCAATACGAGCAAACAAATAGTAAAATAGAAACCACGTTTAGCAAGCATATGAAGTTACGATTAACTTTGAGAGAAACCCAAAGGGGACGATAAGAATATTAAGGTACCAGTTTAGAGACTTTACCTTAGCTAGCAGTTTTCAAAATGATTATACTCGTTACTAGACTGATTGTAATGAAACTGGTGTATATTCAAGGGAGCAGTACAAATTGATTTAACCATTTTAGAAAGTAATTGGGCCATGAAGTTAAGAGCTTGTGACCGTTGACCAAGTTATCATATTTCGAGGAAATAATACTGAGTAGATAATTCAAAAAAAAAAGATTATATACTTTAGTTTCCTCACATGTAAAATTATCCTCTACCTTACGTAGTTGTGGTGAGGACTGATGGGATAAAGAGTATGCATTTTATAAAGTAATATATATATGCTAAAGGAAAACAATTTAATACCAAAATTATTTATAATGGTAAAAATCTGTGAACAGGGTTGGGAGGGGTGGGGGGAAATACTAAACAGGCAATAGATAAGTGGTATCTTGGGTGAAGGGTGAGACAGTTCACAGTACTGGGGAAGCCAGTACAACTTGTGCAAGGAAAGGTCATGGAAGCTCCATAGACACATCCAAGCTCCTTGAGGAACTGAATTTCTGGGCAGAGGGCTGTGGGGACCATGGTCTCAGGGAACACCTAGCTCGACTGGCATAACACAGTTTTTAAAGACGATGTTCTACATTCTATGTTGGTGAGTGGTGTCTGGGGTCTTAAAGCCTGCAAGCAGCCATCTAAGATAGTCCACTGGTCTCACCGCTTCGGGAGCAAGGGAGAATGAAGAGAACAGGATACAAGGAAAAGATTAGTCCAAAGGACTAATAGACCACAGCTATCAAGGCCTCCACAAGACTGAATCCAGTACAGCTAGATGGTGCCCGGCTACCACCACTGACTGCTCTGACCGAGATCACAACAGAGGGTTCTGGACAGAGGTGGAGAAGGATGTAGAACAAAATCCTAAAACACACAAAAAAGACCAGACTTACTGGCCTGAAAGGGACTGGAGAAACCCCGAGAGTATGGCCCCCCGACACGCTTTTAGCTCAGTGGTGAAGTCACTTCCAGGGTTTACCGTTCAGCCAGGGATTGGACAGCCCCATGAAATAAAATGGGGCTAATGAGGCACAGCAGTCCGGGGACAAGGACTAGGAGGCAGAAGGGGACAGGAAAGCTGGTGATAGGGAACCCAAGGTTGAGTAAGGACAGTTTTGACATGTAGTGGGGCTGTTAACCATTGTCATAGGGCAA